CACTGTGGTCTGGCAAGAGCTGCAGGCAGTGGCAAGCTGGGATCGCTGACGTGGCTGGGCTGAGGACAGCACTTAGACAGAGTTGTCTCACCCTGCCACTCAGGCTCAGCTTTCAGTTGCAGCCTTGTAGACTGCGAGATTGAACCACTGACATATAAGGTGCCTGTATACTTACCATTATGTTACAGGCCTTGCTCTGGTTTTGTCCATGTTGCAGCCATTTCCCAACTATACATTGCTGTGGTGGGTTTCAATTTTGGCAGAACCCAGGATGAGTGTAATAAGTGAATCTAGGATATTCTTAAACAGATCAGTCGTGCTAATTGCTGAACACAGCATAATTGGAATACCTTGGCATTGCAAGCTAGATCACTATAGACTCGGTTGATTGTAGAATATATGAAGAAAACAGTATAAAATGATTGAGATTCTGCCTTGTGCTTATGGTGTGTTATGGGAAACCATCTTTACAGATGCTACAGTTTGCCTGTGTTTCATCCTTGAGAATGGAGGGGCGGCAGCTGCTGTTATAAGGTATTGAATTTACCATAGCAGCTGTTTATTGAATTGCTGTAATTTCTGTAGAATATGGTGATCACAGCCTCTGTGCATTATCTGTGACCCCGGGGATGCTTTGGCAGAAGGAGGGAGGAATGCACTGTCAGGAGCACATTGCTTGGGACAGAAATAAGAATGTCTAAGGACCTGTTTTCTAGCCACAACTCATGTACTGTGAGACCAAAGGGGTCTGGGTTTTTTTTGTAGCTTCTGTTTTCTGTGTTTCTAGATAGCAGAGATTAATGTAAAAGCCTCTGGATGAAAATCTACCACCATTGCTGTACAGGCAATTACCAATAGTATTGTTTCAATCCCTTTTGGCCTTGAATTCAGGATTAGGGGGAATATAATCTATTACATTTTCAGCCTACTTTTGTCAGCTGAGGTTTCTGATTTTCACATGGTAAAGAGTAAAAACTGCATGTGGAATCCATGTCCAGTCTTGCTCTGCATCACAAAGGCCATTGCTGGCTCAGTTTCGCTGGTAATGCTGCTGTGGGGTCTGTATGTGTAGAAACTGTAGGCTGAAGAAGACAGACCTATTTGCAGCCTTAGTCCCTCCTAGCCCTTGATTGGAGTCCATTATAAGCGCTTTACAGAGGGAGGCAAGTATTATTATCTCTGTGTAGCAGCTGGGGAAACTGGGGCACGGAAGGGAAATGGTGCACCTAGAGAGGCTTGGAGCTAAGAGATGTCAGCCTTTCCCCTGAGTAACACCCACCAGATCCTGCTAAAATGACCTATCCAGAAGGTGGGTTGCAGGAGTCATGCACTGGGTGTCTGTATTTCCTGTCTTCAGTGACGTGGGCAGTGAGCCTTTTCACCATGTGAAAGATTTAAGAACTGAAGTCTCACTTTAATGTTAACAATTTGGCATTTTCCCTGAACAAGAGGCTTATGTTACAGACAACCTGTCTTGTTGATTTGATTGCCACCTTGTACTTGTTAAGTAATAAACTAATTAACTTCTGGAATTACTGAAGGCAGCATCCCTTATTCGTTGACCTGATAAATGTACGAGGACCTCTGTCAGGATGAAGCTGTAAATTACGAAGATAAGGTTTCTTACACAGCCCCCTCAGCTAGTTTTGGCGAGCAGGGGAAAGAGCATGCTCTCCTTGCTGGGTGTTCCTCCTCCACATCCAGCTGCTGCTCTGAGAGGCAAAACAGAAGCTGGGAGCTGCTGTACTATTTCACTAAGTGGCAGATGCTGGCACTTCCTTTCTTTCTAAAGTTATAGTGGTTTGCAGTAACATTGACTCTCGTAGTGCACTGGTTCCTAGCAAAGTACAGATGTTTCTTGTCAGCTTTGGCCATCTTTCAGAGCTATAAATATTACCTTTAATGAAGAGCAGCGGTGAAACAGGGCTGTGATTTATGAGTAAGGCTCTGCAAGTTGGCTGGCTTTCAAAGCAGCATTTGTACGTGAAAAGCTCTGTAGATGTGTCAGCTCACCTGGTTATCTTTTGCTTTTGTCAATTGTTAGAGCTGGAACCAGTCCTGACTGATTTGAACAGCCAAGGCATTGCCTGGGGACATTGTCAGAGAACTCTGGAATGTGCTTTCTTGGCAAGTTTGGAGTAGGCCAAATTTAGAGAATTTCAGACATTGGCTAGTGCTGTTGGAAAGGGCTGAAGAGGCATTTCCCACAACAACGGTATCAGGAGGCCGGGGGGCGGGTCTATTCTAGGGTAGCTGGTGGTCGGTGGTGTTAATACTGTTGGAATTGTATTTATAGTATTAATTCCCTACTAGGGCACTGAGACTGAGCCCCCTTTGTTATAGCACCTCTTTCTTTACACTGAAATCAATGCAAAATCAAATCTCTAGTACTTGTAGCAACAGGTTAGATATGTTATTTTGCCCAGATACTTGATGAAAAATTTGTACCTGCAATGTGGATGTGTGATACTTTTGATGTTCTAGCAGGACTGGTAGGATGGAAACACAGGTGAAATGGGCAAGTCTCCATCCTGGAGGAGACTTCTCCTCCTCCTTCTCTTAAACCATGCATGGGAAGAGAGGTAGGACACAGGTGATGATTTGTGAGGAAGGAGGCATGCAGAATGGCACAGATTTTAATTTTAAGCTCACGCCATATGAAAATCTCATCTTTAAAGGGTTAACAAGTGGCTACCAGACATACATGGCTAGATAATTGTTACTGGAGTGCAGGCATCGGTTTTTCTATCCCTGGCTTGTCAAGCCCAGAGATTACAGTGCTGTGTGAAACCATGGTATGTTGAAGTGTTGTGTTTAAAATCATCTTTAACTCATTCCACTTGTATCTGCCCTGTGCATGACCCCTGCTGATTGTTCATTAGCCCTATGTAAATGAGGATTTAGTGGAAAGAATTTCTGTATAGTAATTTTTTTAATAGAAATGCTGTCATGCACACACGTGCAAAGCTGAGGTTTTGCAAGGATTTTCATGCTAGTGTCAAAGAAAAGCTTTTCCAAAGTTAAAAGCCAGCCTGTGTGCAGGGTTCTGTATGTGGGGGTGCGCTTTCTGGTATGGCAGATCTTGCCTCTTTGAGGGGAGAAGCAAAGCAGGCACACTGCTCAGCCAGAGCTTTCCTACTGTAGTAGAGGTGGGAGGAACCTATAAATGCATGATTTATGTAAAGTGCCCTGGGACTGCCATGCTGAACATCCTGAGTTTGAGCAGCTGGTGAGGGAAATTATTGCCACCATGAGGGAGCAGGAGGAAAGCAAGCAGTCCTTCAGTCTGGTCTGGGTGGCTTGTGTCTCTCTCCTGTTCCCCAAACTGGGTTCCTTGAGTCCTGCTTTCTTCTAGCAGTGCCTCCCAGTGGGATGCCCACTGCTCATGGGTGGCACGGAAGCTGCTGAGACTACTGCAATGTTATTTTAGATTTAGAGAGTTGTATTGTTTCTAGGACAACTGGGGAAGAATGAGGAAGGGACTTGTGCCAAGTCAGCTTAGAGCTACTGAACAGTCTGGTTTGCTTGCTGCCTTCTCCCCTGGAAAATGGCTCATGGCCTACTTTTATAGGGACTTCTTCAAGCCAAGCAAGTGATTGGGTTAAAAAACACTAGAGCAAGGAGTAGATGAGAAGCCAGTGTTGTCAGGTGCAGTTGTAGGCTGATAATAGCAAACCACTCTGTAAAGTGAGCACAAGTTGCGGACACTTGGCACACTGAGAAGATGAGTGCAGAGCAGAATGTGTTTCTGTGCTGGAAAGCCCATATTTCAGTCTGTGTTTAACAGTCTGAACCTCTGATGACAGCTGAATAAATGTCCCTGTTCTACACAGCTCTTTCAATTAAGTGGCATTTGTTATATTGTGTAATCTTGCCTCTGTACCATTAATTGCCTTTTATTCTGTATCCCTCACTTCTGTGAGGGGTTTTTTGGTAGTGGGAGGGACTATGGAGATAGGTCCTGTAAGAAGCTGATAGAAACTCCCTTGGCTCCAATTTTTTACCCACTTGTGACCAAAGCCAAGCAAATCAGCACCTCTGCAAATGATGTATTTTAAGAGGGGTGCAGCACATTGTCCCCAGAATGGACAGTATGGCCCTGGCCCAGCTGGGCTGCTCTGGCCCCACCTCAAGCTGAAGCTCAAGCCTTGCTGTGGCTCCAGCCCAAGAGCCAGCAACTCTTCAAGAACCAGCAGAAGAAACCTGCAGCAGAGAGGAGTGGGAAGTGAGTAGAACAACTGCGCAGACACCAAGGTTGGTGAAGAAAGGAGGGGGAGGAGGTGGATGGAGCAGAAGTTCCACTGCAGCCTGTGGTGACAGTGCACGTCAACCCACCCGCAGCCCATGGAAGTTCAACAGTGGAGCAGATCTACATGAGAAGGTGGCTGTGCCCAAAGAGGCCATGACACCATGGGAAGTTGCACTGGAGCAGTTTGCGTGTGAACTGCAGCGTGGGCAGATCCATGGAGAAGTTCGTGGAGGACTTCTCTCCTGTGGGAGGGACACCACGTGGAAGCAGAGGAAGAGTGGGAGGTGTCCTCCCTACCCCTGAAGAGGAAGGAGCAGTGGAAACAACAACCTATCCCCCTGCAACCCCCATTCCCATCCCCCCGTGCCACTGGAGAGAGACAAGGAACAAAGCTGAGCCTGGGAAGGGGCGGAGGAAGGTGTTTGACTTTAAGATCTGGTTGTATCTCTCACTGTTCTATTCTGATGCTACTGGTAACTCATTAAATTGTTTTGTTTTTCCCTGAGTTGAGTCTGGTTTTTGCCCATGACATTAAGTGGTGAGTGAACCCTCCCTGTCCTTTGTCTCAGCCCACAAGGTCTTTGTTTTATTTTCTTCTCCTCATGCCATGTCAGGGACGAGTGAGCAATTGACCATGTGGTGCTCAGTTGCCCACTGGGCTCAAACCACAATGTATTCTAAGAGGTCTTAAATGCTTCTTGAAACTATAAGGTCATCTTATTTTTCTTTCCATATTCTTTCTGTCTCATAGCAATGCTGAACTGCAGAATGTGGTGTTAGACTCCAGTGCTGCCATGGGGAGCAATGAACTTCCAGAGAAACATGCTACCGGAGCCCTTGGCCATGATCTCAGCAATGGCAGCAGCAGCAATTTGGAAGCAGCCAGGCGCCTGGCTAAGCGCCTCTACCATCTGGACAGATTCAAACGTTCGGATGTGGCAAAGCATTTGGGTAAAAAGTATGTGCTGTTATGGGGTCTTTGGCCATGTTGTTGTTCTTGCTGGTTCTGGAAGGGTTCACTCAAGTTATAACCTTTTACTTATTTATTTATTTGTTTAAAGCAACGAGTTCAGCAAGCTTGTGGCCGAAGAATACCTTAAGTTTTTTGACTTCACAGGCATGACGCTGGACTACTCGCTCAGGTACAGGCCTGTTTGCAGACCTTAAATTCTTGTTGTAGTAGCAGTGTTGTTTGTTGTGTTGTCCTGATGGAAGAGGTTGTCCTGCGGGGGCTTAAGAAGGTAAAGAAAGGGGTGCGACATACCTGTTTTTGGGATGGAGCTTTCCTCTTCTGTTTGGCTTGGCTTGCTGCTGTACTCCAGAGTGCTATCGGTGTGGTGGCATTTCCTGGAGAGGGAAATCTTTGGGTGGACCTGCTTAGAAATGGTCCTTGATGCAGAGGAGATGGAGAAAAATGACCACTTGGTAAACAGGGGGCTTGTTGTCTGCCAGGCGCTGCTGAAGAGTGAAGCTGTTGCTCGCAACTGAGCCACACACTTTCTGGCTGATGCCTTTTGGAGCTTGCTCTGCCCTGCTGCAATGCACAAAGCCAGGGTTTGATGTGGCTCAGCAGTGCCCTGTACTTTGTCCCTCTGAGGCAACCAAAAATGTGCAGAACAGCAAAAGCTTCCACGTGGAAAATGCCATTGAGAGTTCAGTGGCTGCCAATGTGGGTGTTTGAAACCCAACCCTTTAGTTATCCTTCCTTCTTACACTAAAATTAGGCCTCAACAATGTTTGTTTTCAGTATTACTTTTCTTAGGAGGCAAAACACCAAGTTTATGCAGCAGTAGCCTGTTAGCACGGTTGCTGGTGTTCTGGTATTTAAAGGGATTTAAGTTGGCTTTAAATCATCTGGCTGAGGTTACTCAAGTGGGTTATTTTTTCTAATGATACAAAACCAGGAGGTCTGCAGGCACTTGCCAGACCCCTTGCAAATGCTTGTCCAGAGGGCTGACTCCAGGGCATGGTGGCAGACCCTAAGGAAAGGCCAGAATACTGCCTGCTGAAGGCATGGGCAAGGAAATGTGCCCGTGGATCAGCAGCCCCTGTGGTGGGGGGAGTGGAGCAGAGATGAGCCAGAGCATTGGTTCAGCACAGGGTGGGAGCTCTGCTGCTCCCTCTGGGTTTTAGCAGCCCTGGAGCGTGATGCTAAATATACCCATCTTTTAAATTGTGAAATTCAACACCTAATTGCTTTGTGGCACATATTTAGGAGGTCTCTGCTCCCGGTAGATCTCCTGTTAATATTAATAGACATGACCTTCTCTAAAATGTGCCCTGGCTTGTGTGGGACTTAGACACACCAGGGGTTTGCTGAGGTTTCAGGAGTAGCCACAGTGACTGCTGGCTGCACGTCCTGAGCGTGCAGCAGGGGCCAGAGACAGAGCATCGTCTGGCACATGGGGAGGGTTCCTTCATTGTCCTGCTCTGCTTCCACAGCCTGGGCCCACATCATCCATGCATCTCCTGAGTGCATCTCTTGCATCCTTCGCAGGACTACAGGAGGGGAGGATGTGGGACTGCTGCTCCAGTCCCTCTCAGAGTCCATTCTGGTCCTCCTAGTGGGCAGAAACTCAACCCCGTGGCCCTCGGCCGTAGCACCATGCTCTGAGAGACAGGAACCTGCCATGTTTATTTACCAAATGTTGTTTCATCAGTTGCCTTTCAAAGGTGACTTTCAGCGGCGTAAAGGTATTGAAGAGCAGGAGAGGGTGTAGGTTGTAGGTGCCTGGTGTGGGCAGGGAGTGTTGCTGGAAAGAGCCCAAGCTGGGGGAGGAGGAAAGATGGCTAGTTGTCAAAATGTCCCATGGGGACATGAGATAGGAGGAGAAGAGAAACTCTGCAAAAACTCAGTTGTATCTACTTGTGATTTGGGTTATTTGCAATACGTTACATGTGAAATTAAGTTATTAGCAGGCAGATCACACTCTATATGGGTGTGAGATCATTGCAAGTACAGCCTGTCTCTGACCTCACGTCAAAGAGAAAAAATTAATGTTTATTTGTCCAGACTAGATAGATGTGAATGTTCCAGCAACATATTCCACACCTCTCAGATCTGATGCTAGTTTCAGTCTCATGGGGTATTTAAAAATTGTCTATTAACACTCATTTTGTATGCTGTCTTGCTCTGGACCCAGAATGTTTGTGTTTTCAGGCTTTTCTTAGAATCATCCTGACAAATGGCCAGAGGCTGATACCACTGAGGTCACCTCTTGGCTTTAGGATGTGAAGATTTTGGGAAGTGCAGAACTTCTTCTTTGGCTGTGTAATGAGTTTTTGTAGCAGGAAGAACAGCAGTGTGGTTAAGTGCCAGATGAAGATTGATAGAAGTGTGTGTGTGTCCCACCTCTTTGCACAGGCTTGCTGGCTGCATCTAGTGACCTTGCCCAGGTGTGCACCAGCCCTGCACGCTAGACTGTCATGAGCAGGAACCTGGAGGACCAGGTTGCTCCTCCCACTGCCAAAGCTCAGTGGGAGGTGTTGCAGCTCTTCTGCCCTCTTCCTCAGATGTTTTCTGCAGGTCATATAGTCATGCTGCCCTCTGCAAGGTGTCTGGTGTGGTCCTTGCCATGCTTGACAGTTGATCCTCCAGCAGGTGGACTGCACATTTGGTGTGGGCTCTGAGTCTGCAGTGCACCTGCGTGACTTCAGTACCGGGAGTAGCTCTTCTGCTTTGGATGAAAATCCTCGTGAGAATATAAGTTAAATGGTGCAGGGGTGACAGCCAATTACAAAAGGACAGAGAACACCCTGGATGGCTGTAATGCATGAACAACACCTGCTCCAGTTCCTTCCCCAGGGAAGAAAAACATTAAAAATAAGAACAACTCTTTCAAATGGTGTAATTGCATATTAATTTGTATATTCTGTGGCTCAGACCAGTGGTAATTTAACTCTTGCCTCATTTACCATAATACTGGTCTTAACTGCACATGGCATAATAGCCCGTTTTCTTAGAAAGGCTTCTTGCAACCAAATGTCTGGTATGTGCTTATGTACTTCTTGCTGTGAAGTGTGCCTTGGTCTGTGCACTGTATGAGACAAAAAGAGTTTTATGACTTTAATTTCACCTTTTCCTGTTCTTCTTTTAGGAGTTTCTTTAAAGCCTTTTCACTTATTGGAGAAACTCAGGAACGAGAGAGAGTTTTAATCCACTTCTCCAGCAGATACTACCATTGCAACCCAAACACCATTTCTTCTCAAGGTAAATTTTTTTTCTGATATGAAGGTCTTTGGTTGTCTCCCTCTTCCTTCATTCTCACCTTCAATGACATTTGTGGTGTGTGCCTGAGAACTGAAGGTATATAATTGCTGCACCACACTTTATAGACTGCCTGTGATGAGCATTGAAACCCTTCATGTTCTCCACACATAATCGTGGTAAGGCATTGAAAAACCTCTATCTGTCCCCAGTCAGGGAAGGTGTTTAGGCCTCCTTGGTGTAAATCCTCAGTTACAGCATCTCCAGATTTGAATGTCTTCAGCTGTGGTTTCTGGTCTTGCCGACTTCCAGCATGCGTGGGTACCTATGCTCTGGCTTACACTCATGTGAATGAGAACAGGCTCCATCTCAGGTGGAAGAGAAGCTGTTTGCTTTCCATGCTCTATTCAGTCCTTGTGTCCTTGCATGCACTGGCAGCAAGCATGCCACTTCTTGCCAGTTGTGGGGGTGAATTTTGGGTGCTGTATCCAGACCCTGGCATAATTCCATCTCTACTAGCTAACATCAGTTGGAATGCTGCCTCCTGGCCAATATTTTCAGTAATTTTGGAAATGGATGGGGAAAACAAACAAGCACAGAGATCAAACCTGAGAAAGCTGGCATTGGAGAAGGGGACAAACTGTCCAGTGACATAGCTTCTGCCTTCAGCCAGCCATGCCAGCAGAGGTATGCAACGCTGTAATTGCAGCGTGGGCTGATCACACGCTGAGAAAGGGAGGAGAGTGAGAAAGAAAATAAGCAAGGGCTAAGCTGTGCCCTTAGTCTCAAGTGGAAGTGAGAAGGAGCTGCTGCACTTGGAGGTACTGCCACACTTCCTTGCCCCTTGTTTTGTGACCTGCCCCAATGGCACTGAGGTGATCCTTGTCCTCACTTTGTGCCCATTCAGCTTTACTGGCTGGCACATCAGGGAATAGGTAGCAGTAAGACAGGATCTCTTTTCATGTTATCTCTGTTCTCTTCCTAAAGACTTTTTTTGTTTCAAGACACTACAGGCAGTCAGGCAGACTACATGTGTCATGTCTAGACTGAAATAATATCTTACATGTTTATGCGGCAGCCTTACCAGGGTCCAGGGTGCAGGAGGGACATTACCAATTCTGAACCTGAGTAAGCATTTACATTAAAGTGTGGTGCTGTATTTCTACGGTCAGTAGTTGAGTGCTACACTGCAGAAATATGGTAGTTCCTCCTTTCAGTGGAAATCCAAGATTGTATTTGCCTTTCTCTTTTCCTTCCTCTGGATGTATTTGCAGTTTGGAAATGAGAGGGCAGGCTACTCTAGAGAAATGCATAGATCTGGACTGGAGCATCACAGCCTCAGGTTCCAGCTGCTTCAGACTTATTAGTGCTACTGATAATAGTTCTCTGATTTCATGCTCTGCTACAGTTCAACCACACTCCTTGGGTGCTAGGGCCTGTACAAATGTTGGAAGAAAATGTGGCCCTTACCCTGGGGAATGTACTTCTGTAATGGCTTCACCTTGCATAGATTTATTCCTGTTATAGTCACACCGAGTGTGAGATGTGTCTATCCTCATACCCTGTTCCTCTTCCTTGACAGCACAGAGGGACCTGTACATGGTCATTATCTGGACTCGGCCATGAAGGTTTTTATGTACATCTCCCTGCAGTGTGCATGTCTCAAAAATGACTTTGTGCTTTTATGACACTGCTGTGAGAGAAGGGATGGTGGCACCATGTGTTTATGAACAAGAGGATGGAAAAAATATTTTTCCTAATATATTCCTAGTGTTTGGAAACTGACTAGAGGCATTTGGATTTTCAGAGGTGATAAATAGCACCATGGGCACTGTCATCTTCATCTGGATTTGTGCAGAGCCAATACATTTTGGGTTTTGAAAGAAAGGAGTGCCTGGAACATGAGAAATACAAAATTGTTGTATATTCTGGCAAATAACAGTCTACATTAACTTTCCCAAGTCTGCCACAGTGACTCCAGGGATGGAACTAGGGATACAATCTGTCTTTTCTGGCTCACTGTCGAGGGCCTTTGCTACAGGACCACCTTAGAAATCCCTGGCGTGCACACTACCCAATATGGAGCCAAGACAGTGTAACAACTGAATGAAGTTCTCCAGAATTCAGTCTAATTGAGCCCTAAATGAGGGGGAGGAAAACAGAATACTGTGTTGTATCCCCTCTGCACACAAGAATGAGTGCATTTTACTCTTTCCTTTCTGGCCTGAAATAAATGAAGAGAGAGCTGATTCAGGCTGTGGTACTGGTATTAGCAAGCAAAGGATGACAGTGTGGTTTCCTGTCTAGCTTGCCTCATCCATGGGTGCTACAAGACAGTTTTGACAGTCATTAATAGATGAAACAGAGGCTGTTCTGGCTTGGCAGCTGCAAGATGACCTCACTGTTCATTTATTTAATTTTGTGTATTTCTTGATAAAACATATTCTCATTAAAGGAACAGACACAATTAGACTCTGAGGCTCAGTTTCAGCTGTTTTTAAAGGTCCAGTCGTGGGTTTGTATGTGACTCTGGTTTTGTCTCTTTCTGCAGATGGAGTTCACTGTCTCACGTGTGCCATGATGCTGCTGAACACAGACCTGCATGGCCACGTGAGTATGCACAGCTTTGTGCAGACTGCTCCCCTTGACACTGTGCTTGGAGAGGGTGGCCTTCTGGCAGCAGAGTCCCCTGCCTGGTGGCCTGCTCCTAAAGCAACCCTGCAGACAGCAAACTGCAAGAAGGCTGTACTCTCAGGCTGTTGTCCTGGGCAGGGATTTCCAGTATGCCCAAATCTGTTTTGTGTAGGCCAGTATTGTGCCTAGATTTGCCATAATGTGTGAGGATGCTCCTTGTCCTCAGGCCCCTGTCTTTTCTGGTGTGCTTCCCATCCTTCCTTGGTTAGAGTAGCCGGTCCTGGCTGGGAAGCTGTGGTTGGGATTGGCTTCCCCTTTCCAGTATGTGAAAAAATCTAGGGGGAGGCAGAAGAAAGAACAGAGGTGAAGAGATGCTGGGAAGGTCACAAGGGGAAGGTTATGTTTGCAGGCATTCAGCTGTAGGGGGCATATCTGGTGGAATCAAAATTCTGCACAGCTAGGGTAATGACAGTTGTGTCCGGAGCCAAGAGAGTGAAGATGTGGGCATCCTGAGTGGGAGCCCTGTGTTCCCCCACTGCACATCGCTCCTCACTGCCTGCCCCAGGGAAATAGTATTTCAGTTTGTGTCCTCTTACTCACGCTGGTATGGGGTGCCAGCAGCAATAGGATATGTTTCAGCACCCGTGGTGCAATATGCCTGCTATGCATGGTATTTCTGTGCTGATGGGAGGCTTCCTCTGTCCTGGATGACACAGGGAGCATGGCACCATAGCATGCAGGAGTGGTGGCTTCAGGCATGCGGCTTTGGGGCTTCTCTCTGGCTGAGCCCCTCCACTGCACTGCCAAGGGCTCTTCCAGAAAGGCCTCCAGTTGGGAGCACACTGGGTCTGTCTCCAAGCCTGCTCAGCCTCTGTGGGTGCAGCTCTGCGGTGGGTGCACACAATGAAGCCAAGGCTTGTGTGTGCTTCCCCAGGGGTTTTGACGCCCACCTCCCATTAATTGAATGCCTTTGTCTGAAAATTCTAGAAGTGGGAGGGGGAAGGGAGTTGTAAAGAATTTTTTTCTCTGGTTTGAGCCTTCCTTCACTGAGGAGCATGTCAGTCCTGTGGGAGGGCAAGTGGAAGTACAGGAATGTGCCTCGGTGTGCCTCTTAGCATACAACACTTCTCTTGAGCACACCTGAAGCTGCCTGTCCAGGTTCCTGCTACCCACAACGATGAGCAGCCTGGGTCACCTGTTCTCCAGCCTGCTTGGCCTTGCAGTCCAGGAAGGGAAGCTAAATAGTTGCCTGACAGCATCTCCCATCACTCCCTGCAATGATTTAGTGGGCCCTGCTGTCTTCATTAGGTACTGGACTAAACGATCTGGCTCTGACCCATGGTTGTTGATGATGATTTGCAGCTGAATCTAGGAGGGCTCTGGCAGTGTGTAACTTTGGAGGCTTATCCTAGTGGCAGAAATTAGTGTGTTGTTATGTGTATGCAGCTGTAAAGTTTGCCAGAGTCCTGCATGGTCTGTGTGTGCTCCCCCTGTCTCTTCCCCTCTCCCTCCCTGTCCCCGCCTCTTCCCCCCTCTCTCTGATTTCCTGTAACTTTGGTCTTCCTCTTAATGCTTTCCATTTTTCCACATAGGTGGTAAGTTGGGCATTTTTTGACTTGGAATGCAGCCCCTTGCAGACACATACTAATTGCCTGTTTCCTAACAAAGATAATGCTCTGACCCATCCTTAGCATGATTCTGCTGAGCAGGGAGCAAATGAGTCATGGGGCTTGTCTACACTGAGCTCCATTTGTTGCTGACAATCAGTAAGTGCAGACTCTTACCACAGTAAGCTCAACTGCTTGTAGAGCGGTAGTGCAGCTGCTCTGCCTTCAGTTCGCACTTTCCCTTAACTCTTGTAGACAAACTCTTACTTATCCCTTTATTTATCCCTGTCTTGCCACATTTCATTCTCTTTATGACTAAATCATTTTTGTTAGCTGTGTCTTGGAGATGCATGCTCGCTTCTCTGCAGGGAGGCCATCATCCAGGCTGTGCTAGAGACTTCTAAAGTACCTCTAGACTGACAGGCCCATCTAGGGCCTGTCTGGAGATGTTAAGTTTGGTCCTGAAGCAAAGCAGACATTCCCCTGCAATGTCAGTCATCTTGGTGGGTGAAAGGAGCCACACTGCTGTTGGTTTTGGTCAGTGTGAGGAAGCGGAAAACTGCTGGGTAGAGGAAGCAAACCAAAGCAGGCTGAAGTCTGTTGCAGGGAGGAAGAAAAGTATTTGCAAGTCTGATAGAGTGGTTCCAGCCTGCACCCAAAGTCTGCAATTATAAGCTGTGTTCTGCAAGTTTAGCAAACAGAGAGCCAAGGTTACAGCCAGGCTGTGTTGTCAGGAGCCTTCCTGACGTGGGAAGCAGCGCATCATAGATTGGTTTCAGTTGGAAAGGACCATTAAGATCATAGAGTCCAACCATCGATCCAGCCCTACTGAGTCCACCACTAGATCGTGTCCCTGAGGACAACATCTACTCGTCTTTTAAAAATTGCCAGGGATGGTGACGCAACCACTTTCCTGGGCAGCCTGTTCCAGTGCTTGACAATCCTTACGGTAAAGAAATTTTTCTTAATATCCAGCTGAAACCTGCCCTGGTGCAACCTGAGGCCATTTCTCCTTGTCCTATCAGTAGCTACCAGGGAGAAGAGACCAACCCTCACCTCACTTCAACCTTCTTTCAGGCAGTTATAGAGAGGGATAAGGTCTCCCCTCAGTCTCCTTTTCTCCAGAATAAACAAACCCAGCTCCCTCAGCCACTCCTCGTAAGACTTGTGCTCTGAACCCTTCATCAGCTTCATTGCCCTTCTCTGGACACACTCCAACATCTCAACGTCCTTCTTGTAGTGAGGATCCCAAAACTGAACACAGTATTTGAGGTGTGGCCTCACCAGTGACCAAACCAGCATCATTCCACTGTTCCTGTCTGCCTTCTTTCTGCTGGTGTGTGCTGGCCCAGGCTGTGAGATCTTCCTTTTTGGCTGGATGAGGCTGACTGTCAAGGTTTTGCTGGTTTTCCATCTCTCCCTGATCATACATTATGGAAGTGAGGTAGAGGATGTGCAGTCCAACCTGTCATGTAACTGTAACATTGAATGACCTGTGCTACTGACTGGTGCCCTTCTTTGCGCTCCACTCTTGTGTTAATTCAGGCTTTTGCCCTTAACTCAAGTAGCTGTCTGCAAACAAAGCTCATCTGCTGTATTTCTGCAGCCAAGGCATACTCTGACCATGAAGAAGTAATCTTTAGACCCTTCTCCTGTAGCATCCCCAAAGATATACTGTGGCCATTGCACAGCCATGTTTTCCCTCTGCCTTTGCCACATTTCACAGCTCATCCCAAGCTGCTTGCCTTTTCTCAGATCTCTCTGGGCTACTTTTTTTATGAACTCAGAGTTGTCATTGCTGCCCACTCACAGGGCTTCTTGCATTCCACATGTGGGACCTCTGGCACCTGGGGCACACAGGGGACTCCTTTTCTGAGGAGTGGTGGAAACTGGGATCCAAGAGCAGTTTAGGGAAGCCTCAAGCCTCCAAATGGAGCAATTTGGGTCCTACATGAACATAGCCGTTCCTTTCCTGTTTGTGGCTTAGTTGGGCAACTTCCAGTCTGAGAATTAGACAGAAAGAGAGAGTATAGCTGCTCCTAGGCATCTAACTCAGGGCAGTTGCTACTGGAAGGGAGCATTGGAAATCTTAAGAGAAAGGTATGGAAAGGACCTCAGTTGGCTGTTTCCTTGTGCCTCACAGCAGGATCAAGTAGAGCCTCTGGAGACATGGTGGTTTAAAACACATGCAGATACCAGAGAGCTTCATCATCACCTTCTTCATTGCCCTCCAGTATTTAGCTGTTTTTTCTTTCAGATGGGTGCGTGGGACTTGGAGGCCAACTGCACCTTCCCTTTTCTAGCTGTATTCACACAAGAATGCTTGTCCCTGAGTAATCTTGGGAATGCTGCCTTAGTGCTGCCTGCCCTGGGCTTAAATGAGAGCAGAGAGATGCAATTCATCTGATGTTGCTTATTTACATCATTTTGGAAAGCAATGTGAGTGTGATGTTGTATTTCTCTGCCATCCCTTCCAGAACATTGGGAAAAAGATGACCTGCCAAGAGTTCATTGCTAACCTCCAGGGCATGAATGATGGCAAAGACTTCCCAAAAGGGCTGCTGAAGGTAAGGAATGAACTGCAGAATATAATGAGTTTTGTTTTTTTAGTGAGAGCTGGTTCAAAACAGAACACCCTGCTTGCATTTTCTGAATCTTAATTGTCAGAGAGGACAAGCGATGGGCCCTTTTCCCCTCCCAGAGCTTATATAATATATACAGTGTTTATCCTGTTGTTTTCCTTCTTGCCTTCATTTGATTGTGATTGAGACTCTCTGCAGCATGGAGAGGCGTGACTGAACTCCAGCTGCAGAGCTGTGTGTCTTGAAAGCTCCTGCGGTCATGCTGTCCTGGAGTGCTGATTAAAGTGGACGGAAGAGACAGTTGGTTCTGACTATTGAATATGTAAGGACTAATCCTGAGCTCTGCGTATCTGGAACACATGTGTGTTTTTTCATCAAAGGTGCTTTGGGGTTTTCACATTAGAGCAGGAGATATAATTTCAGATTAGAATGTATTGCCTGGCACAGGCTGCTTTGCTTCAGGTTTTGTTCATTAAGTTTGTGCCAGGAGTTAAATCTGAAGAATGGAGAAGGAGGCTAAGCAGGACAAATCTTGTTTCATTGTCAATAATAATGAGAATGTTTCATTTCTCTTTTGTCTGATTGCTGGCATGAAGCAGCAGTCTGTTTGAATGAAGAGAGAAGCGTATATACTAGAGCTCATAATTTATTTTTTTTCTGTAATGGAAATAAAAATGAGAGGTTGCTGCATCTGACAGCAGACCCAAAGCCTACCAAAGTAAATGAAAAGAACTGCCACCTCTTCTCTGGGTTTTGTCATGCCTGTTGTGAAATGTGGATGTACCTGCATAGTTAAGAAGTGGCAAACTTTGTTTTCTAGTATTGGTTGTTTCTTCAGTTTCTCCAGCCTCCTTGGGGAACTTTTTGTTAGGCCCTCCTGCCTCAGTTCTTACTAAGGAGTTAAGAATATAAACTCAACCCCCTTGGTTTTAGATTTAAGGCCTTTATTTTTTATATCTGGATATAGAGTATTAATCTATCAGCAGAAACACTTTTTTTTTTAAACCCAAGGAATCTCATTTCTCAATCTGCCATAGAGAGATGTGTTCAGATTAATTTTCAGGCTAATTACAGCCCTTATTGAATAAATAGGTCTCCAGACTGTGTTTAAATAACCTTCTGAGCATACTGACGAGAGACTTCCACTGGTGCTCACCTACTG